CATCTGCAAACAGATAAACTTTTCCCCTTTCTGGCACAAATGTCTTTCTTCTTTAGGGCTTGCTGGTGTCATGCTGAGCAGAAGTAAAAAGAACTGGTGCCTCACACTGGCTCTTTGATGTCCCCCAAAGACTGACATACTAAATCTCTCAGTTACTGGAAGTGGGAGGTACAGAGCGTGCGTGCGTGCGTGCGTGCGATGCCACAGAAAGGAACTGTGGAACTCTTGCCTCTTCTTAATCCTTAGCTGTGGTGACTGCTGTTGTTTACAGGCTTCTGCTATGACATTCTGCCTTGCCCATGGCCAAACACAACAGAAGCACTTAGTAATTAACCTCCAAAGCAGAACGCCAAAATATTTCCTTTCTCTTGGTTAGCTGGTTATTTCAAGCATTTGTTATAGTAATGGAAAACTAACAGTGGATAGCTTACCTTGTCCATATATTTGACTATTCTTTCCTGTGGCTACTGATTTCTAGTTTCACTCCAGAAAAGGATCCCTTAGACGATAGTTTTTATCTACTTGGGAGAGAGAACCCGGTGTTTAAAGTATCCTAATTCTAAAATGAATTTTAATTCAACCAGAGGTACTTAGGGGAAAATAATTCAAAGTATCACTAAGAAAGTTTAGTACACAAAGGACACTCTTCACACCAAGCCTGAAAAATTAACACTTGCCACATCATTCTTATGACATGAACTAGTGACAAATGTTGCTTGTTCAATATCTTTCTTTTTTTTTCCTTTTCCAAAGCCCCCTCCCCTAAACAAAGTCTTTTGCTAGGCAGTGGTGACACACAATTTTTTTTTCTTTATTTATTTTATGTATATGGACACTGTTTTCATGCACAGCAGAAGAGGGAATCAGATTACATTACAGATGGTTGAAAGCCACCATGTGGGTGTTGGGAACTGAACTCATGTCCTCTGGAAGAACAGCCAGTGCTCTTAACCTCTGAGCCATCTCTCCAGCCCCGTTCAATATCTTTCTAGAAAGCCAATTTAACAGTAGCACGCAGCATTTCCGTGTATCAAGCACTTTATATATTTTCACAGCAGTAACACAGACACTATTAGTATTTTTTCTGTCTGAGGAAACTGAAGCACAGAAAAATTGAGTGAATCTGGCCAAAACTGAATAGTTAAGTGTTGGAGACAAAAAATCAAACACACAATCTGGTACCAGAAACAAAAATATACAAATACTTCTAACATTGCAATCTTCATTCCTTTTTGGTTAAGTTGATTATAAAGGAAGAGGTAATTTAAGACAAACACTCTTACAGCCTAGATAGCAAAGAAGATAGCCAGAAGGATGAAGTTAAGACCCCATGAATACCACTGAACCCTCACCTTGGGAATATTAAGTGCCATCTGTCTCCCCAAAATTTGTTCATCATCCTCAGCATTTTGTTTATGTAAAAGCAAGTGTTTAGTATCTCTGCTATGTACATCATCATAATCTTCATCATCATAATCCTATGCTTATGATGTTTATGTTGGGTCAGCTATAATTTTTACTAACTGTTGCTTGCAACAGTTAATCTCCCAGTATGATGATGATTTTACATCTTAGTACTTGCATTGTGAGCTATCTTGGAGAAAGCGGATGCTTGTAAAGGGTTCTTTTGCTTCTGATAGGCAGAATGTTCTGTGTATCTGTTAAGTCCCCTCAGTCTACACTGTCACTGAAGTTTGCTGCTTTCTCAGTCTTTTTCTGTTGGGCTGCTCTACCAGTCATAAATCTGTAACTTTTTGTGTGCCCCAAGGTATTACTTCCTTCAGTTCTATTAATGTCTGCTTTACATAGTCAATCATCTCTTGGTATCTTAGGGTTTTCTTGCTGTGGAGAGACACCATGGACATGGCAACTCTTATAAAAGAAAACATTTAACTGGGGCTGGTTTAC